GTTAGGGGCGTGATAGTAACGGTAGTAGCATGGTCGTAGCAGAGATGTGCAGTGAGTGACCGGGGCCCGGGGGTTGGTGAGTGTGATGACAACAATAATGGCATGGTGGTTAGTGGTGGGGTAGGGTGGGTGGCGGTGACAATAGTGGTGTGGTGGTGGTAGTAGGGGGTTAGGGGTGGGGAATCACAAACAGTAATAGCATGGTCGTTGTGGGTGTTGATGGAATTCAATTCCTTCAATTATGCTAAGGAATGATGAATTCCTTAACTTGTGGAATTCATTGGAATTTGAAGGATTCCATCCATTTCAAGAAATGAACAAAACAAAGGAATTGGAATTTGGTCAAAGGAATTTATCATTATAATTCCATCAAATTCTTTCGAATTCCGCAAACCAAAAGGCCCCTAAAGTTGCTCAAAATTACAATACCAAAAGTAATGAGGGAATTGTCAGATGAAGATTAATTGGATGTAACAATGGAAGAATCTTGAGGGCAACAACGAAAAATAGTTATGACAGATGCAAGATTGAAGCTTTAAAATAGTAATTTATAATTTCTTTGACTTTTGTTGGGGGCACATGCCCCTACCCCTAGAACCTGCATCCGTTTATGTCTGGAATGGATGTTTTTTATTCAAAACTATACCAGGTGGTCTAAATACTTAAACTACAATTACTAAAAGCTAAAAATGGAGGGATTGCAATGATTAAGCTGTAAGCATATGACTAGTTCCACGCCAATCTTCTTATCCTACCTACTGCATAATTTATTGAAAACCAAATTTACAAGAAAAACTAAGCATCGTTGACTTCAATAATAATATGGTTCTTAATCTGCTATAAATCACATTGCTGTCTTCTAACAGCTACCCTAATCGTTGACAAGAAGAGAGGAATGGAGAACAATTCAACCTTACCGAAGAAATGGGGTTTTCGGGGGAACTCGGAGTTGAAGCCGGAGAGGGAGACCACCATTCGAGGTGCTGTCACTTTGCTTCAGTCAAATATCAATCAATCTGACAACAGACCCGTCATCTCTATGTCCCATAGCCAACCTTCTGTTTTTCCCTACTTCAATACTACCCAGATTGCTGCAGATGCCGTTGGTTATTGCCCTACTGTCGGTATTCTCCCAGCAAGAAGGTACTTCCTCTTTCCATCGATCGTCAGTTCTTCTTTGGGCGTTGCTATTCGGAACGAATTAATTAGATCACGTATTACAAACTTCTTGAGACAAAAAAGATACCACTTGTAGGCAGGTGTTTTTGCTGTTCTTTTTGACAAATAATCCGATTTTTTTAAGGGGTTTTAAGATTTTAGTTTTATCGTAATAATAAGAAAGCTGGTAACATGTAAATTGCTGGAAATCTTGGGTGCCAAAATGATGATTTTATGGTAATAAGAAATCGGGCAGCAAGTAACTTGCTCGAATGAACCACAAGGGTTGTAGCGTAGTGGTTGAGGTTTGGGGATGTGCCGGATCATCCCATCTATCCAGAGCATAGACGGACCTAGTTAAGTGCCATGGGTGGCACGTGCCACCGTATCGTTTCTCCGTCGAAAGGTAAAAAGTTTAGGTTTTGTGAACGTTGCAACCGTATTAATTTGTTGTGTGCCACCGTATGTATTTTGAAACTACAATGAAAACAAGTTTTATTTGGTAGAGTTGGTTTGCAAGGCTTTTATTCCACTCCACGCCCAAGTCCAAATAAAGTTAATGTCATTTTCTTAGTCAAACGGTGCCAACTTTTGAAAAAAATTCCGTATATTGTTTCTTATAGTCAAAAGGTGTCACCGTTTGAAAAAAAATTCCGTATATTTGTTTCTTATAGTCAAAAAGTGTCACCGTTTAAAAAAATTTCCTATATTTGTTTTCTTACGGTCAAATGGTGCCATCGTTTAAAAAAATTCTGGGTCTGTCCCTGATTCGAGAGTTCGATTCCAGTCGAACACAATAATTGTGGTCAATTAGTTTATCATTATTGCAATCACAATTCCGGATTACTCCATGCATAGCCGGACGCCCTCCCAAAAAAAACTTGCTCGAATGATTTTTGATGCTATATTCTCTTATTTAGGGCTGTAGCGGAGTACCTCTCTCAGGAACTTCCATATAAGTTATCACCTGATGATGTATTCTTGACAATGGGATGCAAACAAGCTGCTCAAAGCATACTACAAGTTCTTGCTGGTTCCAAGTCAAATATTTTACTCCCAAAACCAACCTTTCCGTATTACGATCTTTTTGCTCGATCATCTAATTTAGAAGTCCGTCACTTTGACCTTCTACCAGAGAAAGATTGGGAAATTGATCTTGATTCAGTCGTAGCTGTTGCAGATGAAAATACAGTGGCCATGTTTATCATTAACCCTGGAAATCCTTGTGGGAATGTTTTCACATACCAACATCTAAAGAAGGTGCCCATGTTTGTTTGTTGCTTTGTTTTTTGCTCTAGAGCATGATAGTTATGTTGCATTGATATATATTATGAGCAATCTGTGAGTGATTTTCTGTTAGGTTGCTGAGACTGCCAGGAAGCTTGGGATATTGGTGCTTTCTGATGAAGTTTATGGTCATCTTACTTTCGGGAAGAACCCTTTTGTTCCAATGGGAGTCTTTGGATCGATCACCCCTGTCATTACACTTGGTTCCATATCAAAGATGTGGATCGTGCCTGGTTGGCGGATCGGTTGGCTTGTTACCCATGATCCTAATGGCATCCTTAAAGAACATGGGGTTCTCTCTTTCTCACACATATATAAATACACATGCTTTGTGCAAACTTATGTACGAACGTGCTAACTCAATCTTCTTTCCCTGATTTTCTTTTTCAGATTATTGAAAGCATTAAGGGATATATTGATATGTCCTCCGAGCCACCATCATTTATTCAGGTTTCTTACTACCTAATATCATATGCAAAATTGTTTTAATTTCCTTTAGAGTTTGAAATGGAGTCCATGCGAGCAGGGGGCGGATCTAGCCCTTAAGTATCGAGGGAAAGCCCCCAGTCAAAGACCAAAACGTTTGTTGACTCGCTTAAATTTTCTATTTTTACCCTAGTCTTACATGGTTTCCCCAGTCTCGTATGGCCATATGCTTACATCCCCCAAGTCTCAACCAACGTGCCCCCACGCCATTAATTTCCTGGATCCGCCACTGCCTGCGAGGGCATAGAGAGTTTTACAATACCATAGGGAGTAGCAACCATTGAGCATTCACCTCTATTGAAGTCTCACAATACCTAGACTTAGACCATTTCACTTCAGATATATGTTGTAACTTTTCTTCTCTTCAAGGGATTTTTCGAAAAATAATCTAACTGTGTTCTACATAAAAAAGTCTACCATTATAAGGTCTCTCTTGACACTCTAAAGGCAATATGTACCCGTCTAGCCTCCGTTAAGAGGAGGCTTATTGGAGTTCTACGTCAGCTAGACTTGAACCATTTTCTTCTCGATATATGTTGGAACTTTGTTCCTCTTGCATGGACTATTTTGAATAATAATAATCTACTAACCCGAGAGCTCATCCAATGAGCTCTACTATCACTTGTTGGGAGATAGTCTCTAAGTTTCCCAACAACCCGCCAAATGGAAAACTATAGAGAAAAGCACAACAAAAATATTCGTGTTGAAAACTCTGAAACCAAAGAAATAGTCCTCCAGAGAGAAACCCACTACGTCAAAATTTATTGCATTCATGTATACTAATCTCTCAAGGGACTCCTAAATACCTCTAAACTCTCGAGCACAAGCATTAAACTTACATTTCTACACTTGATAAGAAAAGAGTCATATACTTCAACACTACAAAACAAACAGGCTTGACCGATGGATATGGAAAAATCCATCTGTGATCTGCCAGAAGAAGCCATTGAAAAAAATCCACGGGTGATGGGCCACGAATCCACGAGTTTGATGGATATGTGATTTCATAAAAGTTTAGATTGTTTCCTAAAATAAAATATTGATCATAATTATTGAACCCTAGTCATTTTCCATAATATTCCAATCATTATAAATGAACTCTCATCATTTCTATAAATATTTCAATTAATTGGGATGCATTGGTTGTACAAATGTGATGGATTGCATTTGAAACGTTCTCTCTCTCTATATATGTGAATATATATATGTATGTATATATGTATACTAATATATGTATATATGTGAATATACATACATACATATATATATATATATGTATAGGTTCAGACGAAAACGCTAATTATTTAAGAAAATGAGAAAAAAAAGGCGTTAATCCAGAAAATCATATATGATTCACATACAAAATCATACATGATCCAGACCATTTTTCCCTGCGACTTAAGTGGTCTCAAAGGTCGTCCATTTCCATTTAATGTAAAATCATACGTGATTTTATACATCAACATTATTTTTCTTGTTTTCTTAAATAATTAATGTTCTCATTTGAACTTTTTCTCTGTCTCTCTCTCTCTCTTTCTCTCTCTCTCTCTCTCTCTCTATATATATATATATATATATATAAGTATTTTTTTGTTAACTGTCTAATTAGTACAAACTTTGTTAACTAGTGTATTTTTATATTTTTCATATATTGATACCACATTCTTGATTATCTTATTACTTAATTATCCCATTTACTTTGTTTAAACTTTTTTATTTATCTCGTTCGTTTTCTGGTCTCACCTAAAAACTTTGATAATTTTTTTTTGGAATAACCAATGTTCATGCATGAAACAACATTATGAACTTTAAACAAAAAAATTGTTTTACCTAGAAACTTTAAACAAAAATCATTGTTTCACCATTTAATTTTCTGGTTTCACTTGTGAACTTCATAAAACAATCAAAGTTTATAGATGAAACAACACTATGAACTTTAAACAAACACCATATAAAACATAGTTATCTTCCTAAAATTAAATAATTTGTTCCAAAATTCCTCCACCCCCATTTAAATATATTCATTATTTGAAACCTTACTGTTTTAGTGTGTTCACATTGTGATTTTAATATATTCATTATTTGAATCCTTATTGTTTTAGTTAGTTCGAATTATGCATATAACTTGATAGTTAAAGTAATGATTTGAATGAAAACGAGAGGGACGGAGGAAGTGAGAAAAAGGGGCCGTTACAATTAGAGGGAGAGAGAGAGTGACATATAAATTATAATAATAATCGACTTCCCTAAAAAAAATTGTTTGATGAATTGTCATTAACTATTAAGTTAATAGATTAACTTTTGATGTTTAATCAACAAATCAAATTAATTAAGGCAAATGAATGGACTAAAAAGATCTCAAATATCTCATAATCTTTTAGTTATCAAATGATTAAACCCAAATATAAAGACACACATATATACACATGCACACACACACGCATGCGCGCGCACACACACCTACAAGGTTAGGTTCAGGGGAAATCTCAAAAAAATGAAAAACCCATGAACACCCTGATAGCCGTTCATCGGGACCTTATGGACATGTGCATATAAGTAATTTTAAGCAATTTGTCCGGTATGCACACTTGCATAAAACCAATAAACAACTTCAATTACTTATATGCATATGTGCATACGGTCCAGTTGAACATTTACCAAGATGTTCTTCAGTTTCATTTTCTTTGAGGTTTTCCCTGAACCYCCCCCCCCCCCTCTCTCTCTATCTATATATACACACACACATACACACACCTCTAATCATTTATTAACTCTTAAATAGTGTTAACTCAAACAAACTCAATATCCAATCAAATGTCATAAGCTCTTGTTGTTTCCTAACACGTCTGATTTTAGGATTCGGGACACTTTCGTATTTTTTTAGTTGGTTACATAATCACTTTTCTGGTTTTCAGGTTACATAATCGAATCCCAATTTTGAATATTTTAAACTGGTTAATTTTTTGTTGTTATTTCGATTGATTTTATATTTCTTTTTATCGTGTTAGGTAGTGTTGAAGTTGATAGATGATACCATATACCACTAGTGAACAATATTTAATATGTACTTCACATGTGATGAATCATATTTCACTTGTGAACACCAACGCAAATATAACAATTGCAAATACACATTTCATTAGGATATTTCACTAGTGAACCATCTATAATATGTACTTCACATTTCATGAAGTACATATTATAAATCCACATTTCATCATCGAATCATTTTTAATATGTACTTCACATGTCATGTAAAATATTTCACATGTGAACGCTAATGCAAATACATAAATTCTTATTTCATTACCATATTTCACTAGTGAACTATCTAGTATATGTATATCATTTATCACGTGTGCAAGATTTCATATATGCACATGACATATGGATAACACAATGAACCGATATTGGCAAGAATTTCGGAAAGAATATGCTTATGAGAGATTATCAGGATTCAAAGAAGTAACCAAATTTCGGATGGAAATGGACATTATGCTTTTGCCCTTTGTTCACTGGTTCACTCTAAAATAACGAATTGAATATTCACTTAACTACTATCATGCCACCATATAATCTACAACGTTGATTACATAAATGAAAGGTCTAGATTGATTTGTAAAGTTAACACCAATTATGTGGTTAACAAATGAAGTTCTCTCTATATATGCACCCAATACCACCAATGCTTGTGAGTATTTATTGTATACATTATTTGACCTATCGATAGTATATGCTCAACTAGGCATTCTTCATATTCTATGTTATAAGATCTCAGAGTTTGGTTTTTTGCAGGGAGCCCTTCCTGATATACTTAGCAAAACCAAAGAGGATTTCTTTTCAAAAATTGTAAATATAATCAAAGAAACTGCAAATTCTTGTTATGAGGCAATTAAAGATGTCCCTGGTCTAACTTGCCCAACCGAGCCTGAAGGATCAATGTGTCTTATGGTAAGGAAATAGATGCAAGTTTTACATATTTGAAGTTGTCATCTCTTGATCAGTTGGTCGAGATACACAAGAAAAACCATTCATATAATGCATTCCCCCTAACCCTCATACAAGTGTTTGTCTTACCTATCGTTTATGTTTAAAAGGCGAAATTAGATCTATCTGTCTTCGAGGGCATCAAGGATGATTTCGACTTTTGTCTCATGCTTGCTAAAGAAGAGTCGGTTATAATTCTTCCAGGTAAAATGACACCTCGGGTGTAAAAATTAATCCAATTCTCTTTTCTTGAGATTTTTTGGGTATTTTATACAGAACAAGCACTACAACAAAATCGGGTTTATAGGACACTCCCAAATTCTAAGCGTCCTAATATACCTCTTCATAAAACTTGGTTTATAGGACCCAAAAAATAAAGTGTCATATCTAATGGTGTTGTATTAAGATTATATGACATTTTTTGATGTTGTAATAAGTTTTTTAGGACACTTTTAATATAAAGCGTCTCAATATCAACTTTATAGGACACTATTTGAAAAATGTCCTATAAAAACATGTGTCCTATAAAAAATTGAGTTTATAGGACAATTTCTCAAAAGTGTCCTATAAAGTTGCTAATGTGACACTTTATATTAAAAATGTTCTTAAAAACTTGTTAAGACGCCTAAAAACGTCATATAAACTTATTACAACGACTTTATATTTTGGTTCTATAAATTAAGTCTTATAAAACGGTCTATTGGGACACTTAGACATTGGGGGTGTCCTATAAATCTAATTTTGTTGTAGTGAAGGATTGCTTTGATTTTGTAGATCAAAATCACTGCTTTTTAAATTCAAAAGGTATATGAAGTTCTGCTAGGAAATTGATCCGAGGAATAGCCAGGATATGGCTACTAGCTTGTAGTATATGTTATTTGGTCTAAAACCAATATCACGATCTTTTGAAAATCTAAGAATTTGGATAAAACTTTGAAGTTGAATTCAGATTTTATGACTTTAAAAGTCCATGTACACGTCATTCCTCCTCTCTTCTACCCTTCCAAACTTGCTAATATTTTCTTCAGGCATCTGCGTAGGATATGAAGGCTGGCTCCGAATAACATTTGCTATTGATCCTTCATCTGTTCAAGATGGCATCAAGAGGCTTAAAGCTTTTTGTGAAAGGCACTTCAAGAAAGCATAATGTGTCTCGCTCATTTAATAATCATTTGTGACCTCCCAAGGCTCTAGAGGAGGAAGCTTCATGTATCTAACTTTTGGATTGCGCACTATTTCCCTGTACGTACGTGTACACGTGTTAGGTCAATGTTCTTGAATAAAGTTTTCTAGGGAAAACTTTTATTTGCCCATCTAATGTTGTATAATCATATGTTTTGTACACAATGTTGGCTTGGATTTTAGTTGAATCTTTAAATCCTCCCGAGTTGGAATCCAACTACATTAGTGAATGTAGAACAAGTTAGTAGTGGATGCCCATAAGCTTTTCTTGAAAATATGCATAGTATTTTCTCTTGATAAGTAGCTATTTATGTAGACCGAACTTCAAAGGCTTCAATTGGTTTTATACTTGAAAACATAGAGGGATAGATCCATGTAATATGACTTATCTTTAGAAGATCATATTTGCAAGTTTCTCTTTCCTTTTTCATCATTCAACCATTTTAATTTTTTTCTTCAATGAGTTCAGGTCACCTATAATATATTCGCTCTTACCGGGTAAGACTCTCGATTCTTGTCTTTGCTTTTACGGGTAAGATTCTTGGTCCTTGCCATATTCATCCGATAAAGTAAAGCGACTTGGTAAGTGCTTATTCGGGTAAGCGTTTGGTAAACGACATCTAAGCGTTTTATTGGTGCTTATGTATAATCAAATTTTCATTCTAACTAGGTCTCAAAATGACCCTTTTACCTTTTAATATAGACAAATACAACTACAATATAGGCAATATACCAAACAAATGAAAACAATCAAAAGCAATAAAATATGGACATAGAGTTTTTTTTTCCCTTCGTAGGCCTTTCCTAGTGACCAATTAATCTGTTAGATATTGTATTTCTACAACACTAAGTGGAAACTCATGTAAGTATATACATATACCAATCCTATCGCCTTTTCAAGTAATAAAACATATTCCACAGGGATTAAGTTGCAAGATCTCAAGATGAACGGCTAACTTCGGGTGGTGAATTCAAAAAAAATATTTTTGATGAGGTGTTTTATATATAACTACTGATGTGAACAAAATATTAAAAAGGAACTTACGGTGTAGGGATTCGTTAGGATATTCAACCAAATAAAGTTGGCAGAATGTGGTGTTCTAGCATGTCCAACAAATAACTCATCTTATCAAACCAATAGCTTTTTTAAGGCACTCTCTCAAGTTTTATAATGACACATATCCATAGACTTCACCTCCATATCTCTATGTAAAGCTTCCTTGAAATTAGAGAGAATAACAAAAGAATCCAAGATGAAGCTATATCTGATTATTTAAGTACTAGATTGTTTAACTAAAAGTGTCCAACACCCTCTTTTTTATATACTTGGAAAAGGGGACATAAGGACCAAAAGATAAAGCTTTGATCCAATTTTTGTAAAAGTCTGAGTGAAGTCATATTACATAAAAGAGGGTACACAGACTTGAGATCAGTTTTGTACTATAAGATATTCAAATCTGCATTAGATCAACTCTAGATGAAGTGGATATGATGACAAAAGATCCACCTTACTATTGCCCAAAATCCATCGGAATCACCCGGCCCATGCTCTAGCATACTTCCAGCATTCATTTCCAAAACCTTGATTTTTAGCCCATAAGTCACCAAAGTAGATTGTTTTTTCTTCCAAGCTCCATAAACAAGATAAATATAAAATAATAATAAAAAAGACTCAACCATCTGCTTAAGGTAAGGATGTAAGACACAAGAGAAAATTGGAAAAATTATATTACATTATCAATATAAATAATACTCATCACCAATCAATCAACTATATATGGACTTATATTAAAATGTAAAAAACTCCTTTAACAAAATTCCATAAAGTAACCTAAGCATGAACACTCTTTTGTAACAGGCCTTATGAGTATGCTAGATTTTCTCCTAACATCCTTCTTCTAACCAGGAGCCAACTTCGAACCTGGAGCCAACTTCGAACATTAATAGGTTATAAACCTTCACCGGGCTCATTGATGGACCTATCCATGCCTATCCATGAGCCAACTAAGAGCATTGAAAAGATCAAAGAAAGAGCCGCACTGAAGAAAGATCGAAGATTTGAACTTGACTTTTTTTTAATAGTAATATGCAATAATTTTGATGCATTGCAAAGATAGCTTAAATATGAGTCAGATTACATTGGGTCAAGTCTGTCATTAAGTTATTTTGAGCTTTGTTGTATTCAAAGCCATTAGTATAAAGCACTTAAAGCAAGACCATTGAATAAACTAACACTATATACAACCAACCAATAACTCAAGGATATTCAAATTTAAACAACAAACCTTACTCCCCCACATAATACTCCTAGATGGAAGCAACATATAAGTTTATGATACTAGAACAAGTCCAATTAGTAGCAATAGTTAAGGTTATCAACCTCCAAGATTTTGGTTGCATCCTCAAGCACCACATAGTGCCTCTTAACAATATTAGAGGTCTAGTTTAGTGATTTTGGTGGATAATTTTATCATCAACCAAGAATGATAACTTCCAAAAAAAACCCTTGCCACAAGTCAACTATAGGCTTCAGACCATGATGACATAAAACAACGTGATAAGAATAAAATTTCATAGCCAACTATCTCAACAAGTTTCCAACCTTCTGGAGTTAGGTAATCATCTAACAAGGCAAACTAAAGAAAATAAAAATGGCCCCACCTGAATGTTATTGTTACTATGCAAATATCGATGAATATGGGTAAATATAGATTGATTCGATTGCGTCTTGATTTATGTAATTATCTCATAAATATAGTGTTTATCCTATACCAGATTCTATTTGTACAGGTGTATATATTTTAGGGAGGAATGTGAACATGGGCAAAGGATTCAATCATTGTTTTACATGGTATCAGAGACCTTGGCGCCAAGGTCTGCTACCCTAGGGACTCGATACTCGACACTTGCTAGCCACCTCTCGACACCCCGGGACAATTCGTATCCATCTAGCCTCCATTAGAGAAGGCATGTTGGAGTCTCATATCGGCTAGACTTGCACCGTTTCTCTGGTATATATGTTGGAATCTCCCATTTTTTTTCAAGGACTCTTTGGAGAGTGAAATGGAGGTTCCATATATTCTCATGGTACTAGAGCTACCATAATTCTCCTGCTTCTTCTCTTTCTACCACTCATCATAATCTTCCCTTTTACCAATCTCCTTCCCTATGGCTGGTGATAAAGGCATCAAACACCCACTTGCTTCGATTGTTTTTCACCCAACCTTGAATGTTACCAATACTCGTAACCTTGTTCCACTAACCGTAGATGTCAACAACATACAATATTCACCATGGACGACTCTCTTATGAAACACAACCAGGTCTTATAATTTCATGGACCATATTGATCTAGACATTGAAAAACCAACATATATTGGTGATGACTTGTGGAAGCTCCTCAATGCAATCGTTCTTCAATGGTTGTACGGAACAATCTCCACGGATCTTCTATACAAAATTATGGACCAAAAAGCTACCGCTGTGGTAGTTTGGGATCACTTACTTATCATTTTTCAAGATAATACAGGCAGTCGTGTTGTGCATCTGGGGACTCCCAATCAACAACAACTCGGTACCAGCACCAGCATCACGGCGGTATCCGTAATGGACATGGCGATCATAATAACAGAGGCACGAAACCTTATCCTGGTGGTGGTCGAGACAATCAACAACCATCACAATGGACCAACCCACGGATGCCACGGTGGGCTATTTCACCATGCCCATATCATATGCAAACTCCACAGTGGCGTTGGGTTGCTATCGCCCAAAGCTAGAATCTTTTGAGCCTGGTATCGCGACCACTTCAACAACAACAACCACAACCACAACCACAACAAGCACACCTTACTAATGGATACCAACCAACAGATCTTCCGTCCTTTTTCAACACCTTGTCACTCTAGTAACTGGTACATGAACACAGGAGCAACTTCTCATGTTATGAATAATCCAGATATCCTTCCTCTATTACAAATTGGCACACTTTCATTTCAAATATATTGGTTGGTGATGGCACTAAAATTCCAGTTTGAGGTTCAGGCACTTCCACCCCTTACCCTACACCCATCTCTTTCTCTCAACAACATTCTCTATGCACCTGATATAGTAAAAAATCTAATATATGTCCATCAATTCACAAAAGAAAATCTATTCTCTATCGACTTTGATCTGTTTGTTTCTCTGTGAAGGATCTACGAACGAGGGAAATCTTGACATGGTGCAATAGTGTGGGTGACTTATATCCACTCGCCTCATCTTCTTCTTTGGGTCCAACCTCGTTTTTTGTTGTCATCACTCCTTCCACATGGCACAATCATTTGGGACATCCTTGAGACTCAATTTTATGCTTTCTTAGGAAAAAACAATTTTATAGATTGAAATAAGGAGAACAACTCCACCCTTTGTCATGAATGTCAATTGGGAAAACATTGTAAATTACTTTTTTCTATCGCTCTTTCAATGACTATGCAACCATTTGATATAATCCATAGTGATTTATTTACTTCTCTTATTGTAAGACAATCGGGATTCCGTTATTATGTATTGTTTCTTGATGATTACTCTAATTATTTATGGGTTTTTCTACTTAAAAATAAATCAAATGTCTCTACTACTTTCTCCATATTACATTCCTATGTTCAAACATAATTTGGGACTAATATTAAGGCTTTGCAATGTGATAATGGCAAAGAGTACGATAACCATTCTTTTTTAAACATCTCTAACTCCAAAGGAATGATTTAACCATAACTCATGCCCTCACAAATCTCCTCAAAATGGAAGAATAGTTTTGAGACGAGGGTTATACTACAATGGATAGTCATTAACTTCCCTTCCTATGCAACGTTGTCGGATTGGAGCATGCACCGTAAGTTAGCCTGACCATAATGCATTAACACGTTGACATATTGGAATGTGTTGCTAATCTAGTACAACTTGAATGGCATGTACATTGAGAAAACATATTTGAGAAGCTCTTTAACACTGTCATGGACACGTCAAAAAACGAAAGACAATATAAAGGCTAGGAGAGATGTTAAGATTTATTAGGACCAACGAGATTTGCAAATTGCATTGTCAGGAAACAAATGTGTGAAACCAAAGTCGTTGTATAATTTGAGCAAACAACATGTAAAATAAGTGTGTGAGTGGTTAAAGATGCTGAAGTTTCTGGACAGGTATGCGTCAAATATATT